ATCAATATATATCTTCGAAGGTTGCAAACGATGAATTGTTAATATGGATTTTAATGTAAGAGAAATATATGAATTATAGAAATGGTACTTTTACATAATCAAATATAAAATATTGCATTTACATAGGCATCTTCATTTGGATTTATGTAAAATATCTCGTGAGGTAGATACAATATTCGGAACAGGAATGACTATGTCCATAGCATGTTACTTCTGTTGGTTAACCCACAGCTTTTATGAAATATTTAACATAATATTTATCAATAATTATGTTAATAATACATTATTATATGCAACCCTAATTTTAATTTGGTCTTTTTATTTTTTTTTAAATTATTGTATATTAATTATACATGCGAGGAGACCAGCAGTAAGGTATTATTTTATGATCAATTTCAAAATTTATTTATTTTGCATGTATTTTCAATAATTATTAATATTAACTTTTCTATATTTATAGTTCTAAATAAAACTAAATTATAAATTAATCTTAATATAATTTTGCATATTTAAATTTTAGGCAAATGCAACAAGAAGATTAATAAATAAAATATCTTATTCCAATTATGATGTTGATCACAAAAATGTAAGTTAATTTAAATTGAATTAAAAAAATTTTGCTAAATATTGTTAAAATATATGCTAAATATTGTTTAAATTTAAGTACAAATATACCAAAATTGTATATACTAATCTATTATATTAATAGATTTCACAGTTTTTATTGCAAATAACTCAAGCGCAACTTCACTTCTGCGGACTTGGACTCTTTCAATTTGGCTATAAAGTCTTTCATGATGTGCGTTTTAACTGTCACATATTATTCATTAAAGATACTTATTTACAGTAAATATATAAAAAATAAAATTGTTATCTTTTAGTTCTTTCAATATGCTGCAGCTGTTTTAGTTATATTAATACAAATGCATATGAGTAAATGATTCTGATGCATATTGACATATTGCATAAACAAATTTTAGTTAGATATTAATAAATAATATATTTAATGTTAAATAAAAGGTATTCTTAACATGCATTGATTATTATATTATATATTTATGCAATAAATTAATATTTATAATTTTCCACAAACTTATATTATATTATAAACTATAAAATTAATA